ATAAGACTATTCATGTGATCTTTGAATCTAAGCTGAGAATCTAAAACTATACTGAGATTTTTTGTACTTTAAACAAAATTCAATTTTGAATTATTAGCCATTATATCGAGATTAGCTTTCAAAAACTCAGTCTTAGATTTGTTGCCAAAAATCATTACATGCGATTTTTACGGATCAAGTTTTAAGTTGTGACCTAATGAGAGATTGTTCAAGGTGTTAATGTCCTCATTTATATAATTTTCGTAATATTTGTAATCCTCAATATCAAAAAAACAATAAACCTGGCTGTCATCCGCGAAGGCCTGAACTTTACAAAGCTTTAAAGACGTAAGGATATCAGATGTATAAATTAAAAAGAACAACTCCCGATAGGATCTCCGCTTTGTCTGCGAATCTGACATTTGATAGAATCGATTGATCCCTTCCTGTAAAATATGATTTTAAAAGCAAACATGCTCCCTTATAAAAGCCATAGTACTGAAATTTAGCTACCAACAATTCATGATTAATGATATCAAAAGCTTTTGAAAAGTCTAGAAGTACCGAAACTGAACTCATCTTTCTATCATTTGCTCTTAATATGTCATCGAGTACGTCTGTTAGAGCCACTGATGTACCAAAATTTTTACGAAAACCACACTGAGTACCAGGAATAATATTGTTACTCATACAAACGTCATAAATTTGTTCGTACAGCACTCTAACAAATATCTTCGACAAAGCAGGAAGTATAGTTATCACACGAAGTTCATTAAAACTTGATGGATTAGTTATTTTTGGTAATGGTTTTCCTATGGAGATTTTCCACTTGTCGGGAAAGTAGCATGTTTCAATGGAACAGTTTATAATATGTGTTATATATACTAAGTGACATATAAATCCGAACACCCAGTTTAAATGGTTTTATTTTAATAAAATTTTGTATAAGTACTTAATGAAGCATAATAAGTAAATGATAAAAATTTCAAAATGATTGCACTGCTTTAAAGCCCTTTGACCTTTAATAATGTGTGGATGCACCCTGATGTGATACGCATTCTCGAACGCGCATAGGCATGGTTCTGTCAATGTCCTCCTGTGGTATCTCATTCCAGGCAACCACCAACTCCTCTCGAAGTGCTTCTAGAGTCTGAGGAGGACGTTGCAAATTGAGCAATCTCCTACCCATCATATCCCACACGTGCTCAATTGGGGATAAGTCGGGAGATCTTGGTGGCCATGGTAACAATGTGACATCATTATGTTGATAGAAGTGTATTGTGACTCTTGCAACATGTGGTCGGGCATTATTTTGTTGGAAAGTTGGATCTGCCAGGGCGTCAAGATAGGGTAAAAGATGGGGTTCTAGAACTTCGTGGATATAACGCTGCGCGTTCATGTTACCTCTGGTGAAGATTAAAGGTGACCTGGAACCATAAGCTATAGCACCCCAAACCATAACTCCAACAGTGTGATGAACATGTCTTTCAACAAAAAACTGTGGATTCCTCCTTTCACCACGTCGCCTTCTAACCCTGGCACGACCATCGTGCAAGCCTAAACAAAATCGAGACTCGTCACTAAAGACAATACTGTTCCATTCCTGATCCCAGAGTGACCGTTGTCTGCACCACTCAAAGCGATTACGTCGGTGTTCTCGAGTTAAAGGGAGGACCCAGTGTGGCCGGTTTGAAAACAAGCCAAAACTTTTCATTCGTCGGTAAACACTTCGCATGCCAATATGTCTTCCGTGTTCTGCAAACCATTCATTTGTAATGGACCTGGTAGTGGAGAAACGGTCCCTTAGGCGGCGATCTTCACGGTCTGTTGTTCTACGGCGGCGTCCAGTGCCCCTTGTTCTTTGCGTACGGCCTTCTCGAAGCCATGCCTGACAACACCTAACCACAGTGCTACACTTCTTTGCACTCTAACTGCAATTGCCCGAAAAGAAAGTCCAGCTTCCCGAAGTCCCACTATACGGCCCCTATCAAATTCACTAAGTTGACGAAATCGTACAGGTCTCCGTACTCTAGGCATCGTAACCGATGGTAAAGGATGTCAAGAACCAAAATCCGCCAACGTTGATTCTTTACTGCAGCTGAAATATTCATTTTTAGAGCGTTAGTGAACTAAAAAAAAGCAGTATAAAGACTGGAATGTCCAACTGATAAGGCTGAAAGTTTTTTCACTTGTTATTTACAGTAAGATAAATACATTCACCAACTTTTATTAAAATAAAACCGTTTAAACTGGGAGTTCGGATTTATATGTCACTTAGTATACTTATCTATGTACGGACTACAATATTTTAACATTAAGGGCGAAATATCATCTATCCCGGTTGCATTACTTTTTATGTTATTTTGTTTATATTTGTTGTTTCTTCTAATTTAAAGTTAAAGGTTAAGTTATTTTTAAAGGTATTGTTTTTATAAAATTTAATTTTTTCCGAACAGTTAGATTTCCTTTGTAGAAGAGCAGCAAAAAAGCTATTAATATCATCAGGTTCTGACAAGAGATTTAGATCGCTTATAGTTAAAGACAGATACCATAAATGGATGAATAAGGGCCGGATTCAGTATAACATTACAATTTTTACATAATATTCACTACTGTCAAGATAGCCGATATGCAGGCTGTTAGACTTTTTTACATAAAATACACAAAATTTTAACTTTGTCGTGCCACACGGACTTTTTTGATATTTTTTACTTTAATTGGTGATGGTAAGAAAAAATAAACAGTTAAAAAAAATTTGCTAGACAAGGATTTTATTCTATTGAGTAATTTAAAATATTAAGAAAAAACACAGATCTCGTAAATCAAAAGTTATTTTTTTTTTATAAATGACTTAATAATCTAAGACTTTCTTGAATATTTAGCTTTTGGTTGGTCCCTTTTAATTGTCCAGCAGTAATCTGCTAACATATTTGGGCTCCACTTGCCCTGGTACCGCTTTTCCATATTAGAAATGTCCTGATGGAACCTCTCACCGTGCTCGTCGCTGACAGCCCCTAAATTGTCAGGAAAAAAATCCAGGTGCGGGTCTAAAAAATGGATCTTAAGTGACATGTTGCAACCCAATGCTTGATATGACAATAATAGCTCGCTAACCAACTCTCTGTAGCTGTCACTCTTGTGGTTACCCAAAAAATTTGAAACAACATTTTTAAAAGCCTTCCATGCAGATGTTTCTAAATCGCATAATTTTTCTTCAAATCTTGAATCTTTTATTAACTCCCTAATTTGAGGGCCAACAAAAATACCCTCTTTTATCTTTGCATCACTTATTTTAGGGAATTTTTCTTTTAGATACAAAAATCCACTCCCATTGCGATCCATTGCCTTCACAAAATTTTTTATTAATCCTAATTTGATATGCAATGGTGGTAGAAGCACATTATTTGGCTGTACAAGGGGTAAATACTTTACGTTTTTTTGCCCAGGAACTAACGATGCACGCGTAGGCCATGTTTTTTTTATATAGTGATTAGTTCTGTCTCGGCTATCCCATTCACATAAAAAGCAGCAAAACTTTGCATAACCCAGCTGAAGTCCAAGTAATAGTGCAACAACTTTAAGATCACCGCAGATTGTGAAAGAATATGTACTGTAATTTATTTTTTCAAGTAAAAGTTTCATATTTTCATAGGTTTCTTTCATATTTGCAGCATGGGCCAGAGGTACAGACGGAAGCTTATTTCCATTATGCAATAACACTGCTTTTAGACTTGCTTTCGAACAATCAATGAATAAACGCCACTGAGAGAGATCAAAATCTATGTACAACATTTTCATAATCTCATTTATGTTATTCCTTAACACCAAATCTCCATCCTGAGAAAAATACGTTCTGAAGTGTTGATCACGGTTTCGAAAATAGCTAACTTTTGTATTATGATGTAGCAAATTCCATTCTTTTAGACGTGATCCTAATAGTTCTGACTGCTTTTTTGACAAATTTAAATCCCGAACCAAATCATGTAGGTCTCCTTGAGTTATCAAATGTGGCTCGTTTACAATTCCTTTTAACTCAAAGTCATCGTCCTCGTCAACACATTCACCTGAAGTGGACGGTTGTGAATTGTTCTCAACAGACGTAGTTGCAACTGGTATTAGTTCTGGCAATTTTTTACAATGAGAGACTGGTCTTATAGCCGAAGATAAGTTAGGGTAAATAACTGTGGTTTTTTTCTTGTAATTTATACCTTTTATGTCTGTGAGAAAAAAATAGCAATCTGAAACGTGATCTCGCTGTTCAGTCCATATCATGGGTACAGCAAACGGCATAGGTCGTGCACCTTTCTTCCAGTCAGTTAAATTTTTCACACACGTTATGCAACAGACATGAGGGGCCCAGGATTTGTCTTGATGAGCGACAGAAAAACCAAAACATTGGTGATAACACTCCAACACAAGATTCGTAAAATTTCGTCGTTGTTTTTTGAATGTTAGTTCTCCGCAGACATAACAAAAAGAGTTAGGATCATTATTACACTTCCTCGACATATTCACATGGTTAATTAAATCACAAAAAAGTGTTCAAATTCAACAACAAATATTTTTATAAGGATTTACTTGTAAGCGTTTCTGTTAATTTACTGCCGTAGTACTAGTTATGAGTATTACCGTAACACAACAAATATGAGGCTAATAGACATATGACAGCTATCATGTAATAATGAGGGTAGACTGATAAAACAAAATTAGCTGTCAAAGTTCGTGTGGCAAAACCAGTGTTGACCAGTGTAATCAAAACCCTTAGGTATGTATCAATCTTTTTCTTTTAAAAGGGCGTAGTGTCTATTCCAAAAAGACCAACTGATGTGTGGGTTGAAATTGGGCCACACTGTACAATAACTATTATGTTAGAAACGTGCCTCAACGTATCACATATAACAACCCACGAATACTTAGTTCTATTTTGAACGTTTTTGTTTAGGAGCTATACTCTGTTATCGCACGGTTGAGACACACTGTAGGTATTGAGACGCCCGTTATCAAGCTATTGTAATTTTCAGGTAATGCCTTCTATCTGGTGGCTGCAATCGCGGGAGGGCATAATTCCACAATCACACGTCATCAAGGCGCTGCTTATCTCCAAAGAAACAACCGGCTTATTTGTGGAGCAGCGATTATAAGCAGCAATTGGCTCTTAACTAGCGCCAAATGCGTTGGGGTTGGAACTCACGGCCTGACGGTTCACGCAGGTTCAGGCTTTTCCTCCAATGGTACGTCGTTTCAAGTGGAGAAAGTAATAGTTCATCCAGATTACAAGCAAAATTCTCATGATGCAGATCTAGCATTATTGTATGTGAACGAAAACGTTACTGACACAAACTTTACCCGCGCTTTTCTGCTACCGTGTGGGAATGTTCAAGAGATTCCAGAAGGAGCCTACTGCCATTTGATAGGTAAGATTGAGTAATGTTTTTAGAGGCATTGCTAGTTACTATACTACAACTATTTAAAACTGTAATGACTCATACGCGTGATCAACACGTGATCAGAGCTCGATCCCGGCTTCCTTCCAGTACAGCCGTATAGCGTACGACATATGTCGTTTCTGTGGCTTTGCGGTGGTCAACCGCACAGACAGAGATGGAAATAATGGCTGATTGTTCTCCGCCGGTAGGACCAATGAAATCAAAGACGCGCCTCGACCGGCAGACTCATAGGAGTCGGCAACGCATTGGAACGTGTTTCGTTGAGCGATCGCATATTGTGTGTTTTTATAAGAATTGTTGTGTGATTGTTATTGTTGTGGTTTCTGTGGTTACTGTTTTGGTTATACTTAACCATGGAGAGTACAAATGGCACGAGTGGAAGTACTGAAAGCCAGGGAACAAGTAGACGGCTTCGTAAAGCACTGAAGAGGGACGCGAAAGAAATCGTGCTCAACGTGTTCAATTATCTGAACAGAACTATGTCGCAGGGAGATGCACTCGCGCGTTGTGAAAGTATGACAGGCGTTCCAGAGTGGACCATTCGCAGGGTGGTGCATGAAAAGAAGAAAACTGGAGCTACTACTGATCCAAAGTTTAATTTGAAAGGACGAAAGGCCGTTAAATTGGATGACCATAGCAAAATGGCGTTAAGGCGAATCGTACATTCATTCTTCTTTAGGAGTGAGATACCAACCCTCAAGGCTGTACATGCAGCGATCAAGGAAAATGAAATTATACCCCAAATGAGCGTCGAGGTAATGAGGAAATCCCAGCACGAAATTAATTTTCGCTACGAAACGCGTAATCGGAAGTCAGTATTGACAGAGAGACCTGAAATAGTCGCCTGGCGTCGAAAATACCTACGCGAAATGATTGAGTATAGGCGACAAAGCAGATAAATCTATTATATGGTCGAGACATAGGTAAATGCAGGTCACACAGTTAAAAAAACCTGGATAGACAAAAACGTAGTGAGTAACCGACAAGCAAGCATTAAAGGTTTGTCAACAGGTCTTCGTGGACCGTCAGGGAAAAGTCAAAGATTGATCGTAACTCACAACACAACCACAGCGATAGTGGCTTTTTAGAAGAGTGTGACTTCATTTTCGTTTCTAAGAAAGGAGGTGATTACCATGGCGAAACGAATGCCAGCTGCTTCGAGAGCTGGTTTCAAGGGGTGCTTCAGCGAGTTGAGCCCAACTCTGTGATCGTCATGGATAATGCTTCCTACCATAGTCGTCGAGCCGAACGTGTACCGGCTATGGGATCTCGAAAAAGTGACATGCAGCAATGGTTGCGCGAAAAAGGAATCCCTTTTGACGATTCATGTGTGAAAGCGGAATTGTATGAAAAAATTAAGCAGCACAAACCTGCGAACATTAGTTACGTGACTGATGAGATGGCCCGTCAATGTGGTGTCACTGTGCTGCGGTTACCGCCCTGCCACTGTGAACTGAACCCAATAGAGCTTATCTGGGCTCAAGTCAAGGGTTATATTGCGCGCCATAACACAACCTTCAAATTACCAGACGTTAAGGTTTTACTTGAGACTTCCATACAGCTAGTAACGCCCGAAGCTTGGCAGAATGCTATCCGTTATGTTGTGAAGCAAGAAACAAAAATGTGGCAGCTTGACCACCACATCGACACCATCATAGAGCCAGTTATAGTCAATTTCAACGAGGAAAGCGATAGCGACAGTTTATTACTGTCAGATGTAAGTGGAAGCGACGATGAATAAAGGTAATTCCCAAATTTTTTACTTACAATATGTTGCAAACCACTCTTTATTAAGCATGTGACAAATCTAGTTCACCCATGTTAAACATTCATACCCCACCTATGAACAGCCGACTACTGGTAGTTAAGTGATGTTCACGTGAACATCGATGAGTCATTACAGTTTTAGATAGTTATAGTATAGAAGGTACTATTCTCAGATGTAGTGCTTGGCTTTTTGCATAAAATAATTAGTTTTGTATACAAAATGACATAGAAACTGCAACACGGACTATGAGTGTTGTAATTTTGAGCATACCTTTACAAGTTTTAGATCTAACCTAACCTTGCATGGCCATCATGTGTGCCCAAACAGAATCTGGAGTAATCACTGAACACGACTGAGTACCATTCCGTATTTCATTCAAGTCTCTCCCTATTCCATATCAATCGTTGCCGATTATGCTGGGGGGTCGGAGATAGTACAAGATGAAGACGGTAAGAAAACAGTCCAAAAGACCTTATTCGGCGATAAACTGTCCTCATTGTTATTGCCCTATTATACAAATCTCGTGCATGCATACGGCAATGCCATCACGATCTCATGATTTGATATTGTCTTCGATATATGCTCCACCTACCTGATCAACAAAGCTGTGCGAGAAGCTGGAATCTCTCATTTTGCTGGAGTAATATCTGGTAATAAGAGCATTAGATTCATTATTACAGTAAGGAAGAACTTGATGTTTTTATTTGGACTGCTTAAGGATGGTGGAAGTGAAGACGCGGAATGATTTGTATTCATGTTTTGCACAGTTTTCTAAAATTGCATTACACGAAAGATGTACCTCGACAAAAAGGTGTTTTATTAGACTAATTTTAGATCGCTGAAAGCAAACACGACTCTCATTTATTTTTTCAAAGAACCGTTTACGAGATTTTGGCAAAAAACGTGTTTTTTGTGACTTAATGCAGTTATTACCTGAAATCTCGGAAATGACATTTTTGTCTCCGCGTCATTTTATGGAAGTGCGTAACTTATGAAAGCCATACATATTCCCTTCACGGCAATATATGATTTTTGTCAATTAAATTCGTAGTGATCGCAAAATAGCCGTTGAAAGTTGAAAAAAGGCATTTTTGAAGCTTCTTTGAAAAATATCAAAGTTTATTGACTCTTTTCGGGGCAAATTTTTTTATACTAACATGACTTATGTAACTTTAAAGATGATTTTATCACCCAGATAACAAGCCCAGGTGTCTCCGAATCCTTCAACAAATTCAGAAGATATGATGAGTAATGTGAACACATGCGATTTACAGAATTTGACACAGTTACATTTAGGGTCTAAGGCCCGTATCGTCAGTCGACCCTAGAATTGTAGGGCGCCTTTATGGTCTCCTTGATTGTCATAGTTTTCTACTTCTGCGTGTCAGAACTCTATTTTGAGGTTATGCACAAACATCTATTTGCATCAAATTGTGCTTGCTTTTGAGTTATATCATGTTTTATCAGCCTGAAATTTCCTACAATTTAAAAAGAAGACATATCTTCACAATAGGAGAGCGCTGACGCTGACACGGGACAAGTGTAATCTAGAAATTTTTGAAGGAGAGAAAGCAGTATGACAATCAAGGAGGCCATAAACGCGCCCTACAATTGTAGGAACGACTGAAGATACGGGCCTAGAACACGGTTTCACTCTCGACATTTTTTTCTTAAATTGCCTGGAATCTTCACGAAGTTGCATCTAGCAAAAGTCGCCCATCATGCCTTGATCCCAAAAGCCCTCAACGCTTTTCAATTGCAGCAATGTCTGGATTAAATCGCTCGCCTTATTCATCACTTCCAGCACCCAAATTCGGAGGGAAAAAATCCAAATGACTGTGAAGTATGTGCATTTTTAAATACATGCGAAAACCTGTTAGCATCGGATTTATATGTCACTTAGTATATTTCAATACTGACGAATAGCATTGAAGTCCTTCATCATTGTATGAATTAATTGACGGTCAATCTTGCTCCTGCTGTTTCCCAAGAATCCACGAACAACTTTTTGGTATGCTCCCCAAGCTTTAGCTTCGGAGTTGTTCAAGCGTTGTTGAAACTATGTGTAAATAAACAATGTTTTAATCTGTGGACCGACGAATATACCTGCTTTGACTTTCTCTGTTGACAGCTTTGAAAACTTGGTTGCCGAGTATTTTAAAAATGTTTTATTTTTGTCAACAAGTCTGAGTCAACAACTTCATAACGTTGCTTTTTCTCCCGACTTGTTCCACACGCTTCGGCCTATCACGTTTGGCGAAATGTTTTACCACTGCTCTGCTGTCCCAAAGTCACAAAAAACAACTGTTTTTTGTATAGCCACCCTGCAGACCAGTCAGAATAGCCACAAATTTCGCAGAATATTTTCAAGTTATACGAACCGTAGTTAATCAGGTTGAAGTACCTCTTTCATTGTCTCGTATGTTTCTTTGACATTTGTGGAATGAGCAACGGCTATCGATGATTTCTTGTTGCCCTTGTGGAGTAAAACAGCCTTAACACTGTACTTGCTACCGTCAATAAAATTCGCTAATTTTCAAAAAAGCTTTATTCAACTTTCAACGATTCAGTTGGGAACACCACGAATTCGATTGATACATCGCATATATTGCCGTAAAGGGAAAAATACGAGGGCACACAAAATAGTTTTTTACTAGAACGGTTCTTTGGAAAAATTTATTTTCATCTTGAGCGACCTGAAATTAGTCTAAAAACATATTTTTGTCGAGGTACACTTTTCAGAGCAAAAATTTGTAAACTAGAGTTATTTCTATGAGAATGCAAACAGCTAAGATATGCACGTCTTTTGGTTGTCATTGCCATTAACGCAAAATTCCCCATTTCCGTTAGAGCCTAAAATGTAGTTCGGTTCTATTCAACTTATAAGTGCGTAACTATCTCTACCTCTCCTTGAAAACCAATTTAAGATTATCTGTAAGCCAGCGAGCTGGCAGCCTGCTAACTGCGACGGTAGTTTTAGGAGCACGAATGCCGAACAGTAATGTAACATAGTCATTAAATAATTTCATATTTTCATCGATGCTCTATACAGTATAGATGCGAATCTAAGGAGGAATAAGCGCAAGTCGGTCATGAACAGTTCAAAGTTTTGATAATCATGGTTTGTGACAAACTCTTGAAAAATATTTTGTCGATAAAGGACAAATTACATAATTTTTTTCTACACCGAAGCAGCCGC